AGGGGTGGGGATGGCGCACTGGTCGGAGGCAGGGACTGTACCTCCCCAGGGTCCTTCCAGGCCCCTGCCTTAGGCTGACCGGAGAGGTGTGTGGTTCGGTTTCCCCCTTGCAAAGGGTCTTTTTGGTTTTGTGAACTTCCATGTTTGTTTGTTACCCGCTGCAGCTGAAACTGGGGGGAGGGAGGTGTCTCTGAGTCCTGCCTGCGGGGCCTGGCCCTCCCACCCTGGCCTGTCTCTGTCCAGTCTGGGCTAGAGGGGAACCTGCCAGCAGAAGCCTGTTTTTGCCTTGGGGTATAAAATGACAGTAGTGGACAACAGCGATTAGCCCAGGGACTTTTTGTCTCATCGCAGATAGACAGCAGGCTGAGGCGTGTCCCAGGAACACATTAATATTTACAAGAAACTGATTTGTGTTTTGAAATGACCTCTAATGACGGCCAAGGAATCACTTTTAAAGTTAAAGGAAAGTGGACAGTGGCAGGGCCACACCCGGCTTCAGGCGGGGCCCTCCTGACCTTCTGTAGCTGGACTCATGACAAGGAAATCACATCAGGATTTGATCATTGAGGGGAAACGCCACTTTTCCTCTCTCCCAGGGGGCTGTGTGTTAGCTCCTCTCGCTAACATCTTACGATGGGGAAAATCTTGCCAAGTATTCTTGCTTACCGAGGATTCTGACATGAGGATTTGGGTCCCAGATCTCCATTCCCAAATCGTTTTTACTTATTATTAATATTTACTATGTTATGAAGTGTAAATATGTTAGCACCCAATTTGAGAGGACTTACGAGAACCTGAAAACAGTGGTTATTCTGGGATATGAGATTACAGACCTCTCCAATCCTCACATGTTTACATTTTTTTTACTGAGCCTGCGACTGTAGTAGAGGGGGGATACAGCAGGGTGCAAAAATAAAAATAGCCTTGGCCTCATGCAACTTAGGCTCTAGTTGAGGAAACAAAATTTGGGCAAATAAACACGTTGGTGAATTTATAACTACAAAAGGGCTCTAAAGACGGGGGTGGGGCTGGGCAGGAAAGGCTCAGTTAAAAAAGTGAGCTTGAGCTGAGATGGGAAGGGTGAAGAGAGCTAACCCAGGCAAAGGGGGCTGGGGATGGAAGTAGGGGGTGAAGAGAGCCTCCCAGACAGGGAACAGTCCGTGCCAAGGCCCTGTGGTAGAAGAGAGTGTGACGCTACCAAGAAATTGTAAGGTCAGTGTGGCTCAAGAACACAAAACAGAGAGGAAGAGTGGAGGGGGAAGGGGGCTGGTGAGATGGGCAGGGCCAGACTACATTTAACACTTGCAGGCTGTGTTAAGGAGCTTGATTTTTGTTCTGAGAGCAAACAGAAGGCATTAAGAGTTTTGGAGAGTGATCTGGTTTGTGCTTTTAGAAGTTTACTAACCCTTGAAGGGGACAAGAGACCACTAGGTTTGGGGAAGAAAAAAGGGAACAGCTCTTTTTGTAGAATAGGTGAAGGATGATGGTCACTTGGGGCAAGAGATTAGAGATGCATTTGAGAGACAGGAGGTAAAGTTTATGAAATGTGGTGATTTACAGGATAGTGGGGAGGGGAAATAAGAGAATTTCTGTATTACTGTTAGAACAAAACGAAAAATAAAAACAATCTTTTTGAAAATGAAGCTTTACAGAATTTTTCAAAAAAAAGTTTATGTAGGAGAATTTAACCAGAATATAATATGTTGAATTAGCACCTGAAAGCAAGCTGGCAAATCCCTGGGTTGTTCTCAGACCAGACGATGGTACCAAAACTTCAGGTCACTGGTGGTCTCACCTCTACTCAGGAATGTTCTGGGATTTTAAAGTTTTGCCATGGCTTCTATTATAGACTGTTGTGGCTCCTCCAACTCATCCCCAAATCCATATGCTCAGTCCCCCTTCAATAGTAATAGAATTACCCGTGGCAGGACCTGTCTGTGGCTGCCCAAAATAAAGACTGCCCTGTACTTGAATGGACAAACAACATAGTTCTGTCTAATGCGACATCTGTGGTGGCTTCCAGGAACTTCACTGTCTTCTTTTTCCCTTTCTCCATCCTGCTGCCTGAAATGAGGGTGCCACCAGTGTGTACCATGAGGTTGAGGCCACACGGGACAGAGCAACAAGGTGGTAGGAGCCTGGGTCCCTTGGCCTGTGGAGTGCTATTCCAGCCCTGGACTGCTGCCTGAACTTAACATGAAAGAAATACTCTTCAATTTCATTTTCTGCCACTTGCAGCTGAGCCTAATTCTCATGGTAGAACCATCAAATATTTGCCTGTTAGGTTTCATTGACTACAGCCTGTGTCAGATTTTAAATATTGATGAAATGGCTCTCCCTTGGAAGTGAACGGCCTAAAGACCCTCGTCTTAAAGGAGAACACGTGGACCCCCGAGCTGCTGGGTGCAAGAGTCAGTGGAGATTTAGCCAGGCTGCTGTTTTCATTAACCTGTGCTTGTTTTTATTTGCATTATTCTGAATAAAAACTTGCACAGGATCCGAGTGGTTGCCCCAGCCCTCTTTTTCCCTTAATCCCTGTTATTGTTGTGAGCCCCGTGGTAGAATGTGGGGTTCTCTAGGAACACATGTATCACATTAGAGCAGAAATGCCTGCATGTGCCTCAGGGGGCACAGAATGAGGCTGCCACCCATGTGCAGGTGTCAGCAGATTGCTGAATTGGAGGGAGGGAGGAAGTGGAGCCCTGGGTCATCCCTGTTCCAGGTTTAGATCCGTAAGGAGTAATTAACAGATTCCAATACGGATTCAACTACAGCCCTCCTTGTGTGGTGGGGGTGGGGGTGGGGTTGTCCAGCTGGTTGACATGACTTCCCAAGCCCAAGTTTAGTGCCCAGTGGGGCTGAGCACATCCCACCCAGGCCTGCCACCTGACCATCAGAACCCAACTGTGCCACCTGGGTAGAAGGAGGAGGGAGAGAAGGTGCCCGATCCAAGTTAACTTTCTTGCTCCTTAGGCCAGTTCTGTGCTCTGCCACCCTGACATCCAGCCTGAGGTGCTATCAGACGCCCCAATGCAGGGAGGCTGCTGGTCATGCTCTGACATGCCTGGTGAGCAAACTTTAGAAACATTACAAGGTTCCTAGGTTTTCTTACCAAGAACAGAATTTGACCTCACCTATCAGAAGGCACCTGCCCCAAAGGGTGTGTCCCTCAGGAATCACGGACAGAGAACGTGAAAGCCGGGTGTTCACGAGGCTCCTCAGGGATTCAAGTGGCTTCTGTTGGTTACACATTAATCTGGGTGGCCATCTTACTTTATCTGTTTGCAGGTCCTTTACATGTATCTTTATCGAATTCATTGGGGTTACACTGGTTAATAAAATTATATAGGTTTAAGGGATACAGTTCTATAATATAGTCTGTATATTGTGTGTTCACCACCCCAAGTCATGTGTCTTTCCATCACCACTTATCCCCTCTTTACGGCCACCCCCACCCCCTTTCCCTCTGGTAAATGACCATAATATTGTCTATGAGGTTTTGAGGGGTTTTTTTGCTAAATCTCTTCACTGTTTTCACTCAGCCCCCTCCCAGTTCAGTATTGTTAAATATACTTACATTGTTGTGAAACTGATCTCCAGAACTTTCTCATCTTGCAAAACTAAGGCTCCATATCCATTAAACAACAACTCCCCATTCCTCCTTCCCCTGGCTGTGGCCACCTCCATTCTACTTTTTGTTTCTATGAATTTGACTAGTCTAGGTACCTTATGTAAGTGGAGTCATGCAGCATTTGTCTTTTGGGGACTGATTTTACTTAGCATAATGTCCTCAAGATTCATCTGAAATGGGTCATGCGGTAAGTTTGTGTTTAACTTCTTGAGGACCTGCCAAATTGTCTTCCTCAGCAGCCACATTCCCGCCAGCGAGGCCTCTCAGGTCTGCACCCAGCGGGGCTCACTCCTGCCCGCCTGGCACAACCCCCCAAGGCCCAAGGGCTCGTCTGGGCGCTGGCTGGTAACTTCAGGCAGCACCCAGCTCCTGCCCTCAGGGTCTCACCATGTGCTTTGCCCCCCGGGGTGGTGGGTGAGAAGTGGGAGGAGGCACATGCCAGCTGCAGGGAGGTTTTCTCTGCTGGAATTTGAGCAGCTCTGGGGCCCAAATCGGGGATTTGCTGTCATGTCAGCCAGAGGGAAGAAAAGCTACCGAAAGCATTAGAGGAAGGGAGAGTCTGCTCCACCTGCGACAGTACTGTCCTGAGAGGTTCCCCATGTGCCTGGGGCACTGGAACCGGGGGGACTAGCTCTGTGGGGTGGGACAGGGAGTAGAAGCTTCAGCTCACTGAGCCAACACAAGTTGGCTAACTGATCATGATGCTGTGGGTATGGAGCCCTTAGTTCCATGAGCACCAGGTCGCATTTCAGTCTCGTCCCCATTTCAGACGAAACCCAGGCTGAGAGAGGTCACCCCGAGTGACAGTTATAGAGGCGGCCCTGTTCTCTCCTAGGGCCTCCCTGCTCGCCTGGCTGCGGGGCTCACCTGTTTCTCCGGGTCTCTTTCCTTGGACGCAGCTACAACTCGTCTGGGCCTGATGAAGACACGGCCAGCCGCCTCCATCAACATCGCTTTACTCTTCCCAGGAGGCTCCGGCCCAGAAAGATACGCTAAAGATAACTTTATTATGTGCTCCAAGGACCCCCAGAAAGGCTTGGAAACCAAACGTAATTTTAGACTTTAGTAAAGAGCAAATTTGAGCAAAAAGAGCCTCACCCAGGAGACAAAGACTCAGGTAGTGACTTAAATTGTGTTGCACTGAGACAAAGGGAGGCCGTCTTTTGTCAAGTTCCCACCCAAGGTCCCCATTTTATGCAAATGAAGTCTCCAAATGATGCAGTTCTGATTGGTCGATAGAGATGCAAATGAGGATTAATATGCATAGTTCTGACTGGATGGGCAGGTCCCAGTCTATTGGTCAATGGCCACCCAAAAAGCAGGGCAGGGTGGGGGAGGCCAGGAGTTTGCTAGGAGGTTCTTCCCAGTATCCCCAGGCGATGAGAAGACGCTCTCAGCAAATCGTCACTAGACTCTTACTATGTATAAAAGCTGGGCCCTCCATTGGCCATGGGGGCTCCACCTCAGCAGGTAAATTCCTTGTCGGGTTCACATCAAATGCGTCTTCTTGGATCCACACACTTGAAGGCTTTTTACTAGAAAGCATCAAGTGACATTTTATACCCCAAACTATTTAATCTGTTAAAAAAAAAAAATCAACAGAGTAAATGTGAAGATCTAATTGGCGAGAAGGGTGATCGGAGGGGTTGTGCAAATGGACGGTTTTTATAGGAAGGATGGGGCAAGGGGGCTACTGACTAAAGAAAAGAAAGCATTATTGGGGGGCCGGCTCAGCTTATCTTTGGGGGAAGAGAAGGAAAAGGGTTTTTATCATACAGATCACCTTCTTTCTATGGGGTATGCAGAGGGCCCACATGACAGATCACCTTATTAGTGCTTATCAGAAAATTCCAGATTGGCTGGTTAAGATTATGTTTCTGGGAGAGGTTGAAATAGCAATTAGGTCAGTTTTAAGTTTACAGCAAAACAGAGGGGAAGGTACAGAGATTTCCCACGTATCCCTGCTCCCACATGCACATAGCCTTCCCCATGATCAACATGCCCCACCAGACGGTACATTAGTTACCTAGGATGAATCTACATTGACACATCTGTTAAACAGGAAACTTTCATGGCTGAAAGCTTTTCTTAAAAACAACAACAGGGTGTCCTGAGCCATATTGCTACCAGAAAAGGACAGGTCTTGGAGCATGCAGTCTACACCACCAGCAGTGGGGCTGGATGGAGAAGACACACATGTCCACCGTCCTGGAGTTGATGGGCTCTTTTATACAGTACGTTCTAGCAAAGAAAGTTGTTTTGGAAGAACTTACACTGGCTACAGATAAGGGGGGTGGGAAAGGATCTGGTAGGCATGCAGCCTGTAAGGAAGAAATATTTACTGCTTTTGCTTGGTTTCAGTCCTGAAAGTTCGTGCCTACACAGGGTGTGGTGGCACCTAGTGAACAGATGCCGGGAGGTTGAGTCAAGGCTCCGACACGCGTTCAGGAATGTGAGCAGTGTTCTGTTGGCTGGCCCCCACCTATTAACTGGTTAACTGCTCTTATCTCTCTCACTCTCTGGATGCTGTAATTTAATTTGGAAGATCTCAGGATTGTGGTCTTGTGGAGTCATCATCACCCGGAGTTGATAGTTTACATTAGGGTTCGCTCTCGGTGTTGGATGTGCTGTGGGTTTGGACAAATGTGTACTGGCAAGTGTCCGCCACTGCAGTGTCATACAGAGGTTTCATCGCCCTGAAAATCCTCCGTGCTCCACCTCTTCCCTCTCACCCCTGGCAGCCACCAGTCTTCTTACTGTCTCCTTGGTTTTGCCTTTCCCAGAATGTCATGTAGTTAGAATCACACAGCACGTAGCCTTTTCAGATCGGCTTCTTTCACTTAGTCCTAAGCATTTAAGTTTCCTCCATGTCTTTTCATGGCTTGATAGCTCATTGCCATTGCCTGGACACACCACAGTTTATCCATCGCCTACTGAAGGACAGACATCTTGGTTGCTTCCTTTTTTCTTTTCTTTCCTTTTTTCAGGTGTATACACTATTTATTAACAGACAAGGCCTACAGGCTTATTTCTTCTTGGACACACCACAGTGTGACCCCGGGGGCCCCTGGTCCTGGTGTGCTGGCCTTGACCGTGAAACCCACAGAAGCGGCGCAGCCTTCTGTGCGCCTGGACTTCCTTCAGCCGCTCCAGGCCTTCCCGGAGCTTGTCGTCCGGACCCCCGGCCAGGACCTGGCTGTACTTTCCGTCCTTCTGTCTGTTCAAGAGCCAGTCTGGGACCTTGTGCTGGCGTGGATTCTGCATAGCGGTGGTCGCCCCTCCCCCTCCGTGAGCTCCCTGTCCCCTGGGTGGGGCCGACGTCTGCTTTCCTCACACCTGTGATCCTGTCAGGCAAACACGGGAGAAACTATGCCAACGGGTGGCCGCCTACTTGATTCCATGTCCCCGGAGAGAAGGGTCCAGGTGTCATCTCCAGGTCCCTGTGTGGAAGGCTCTGGAGAGGCCCCCATAGCACAGGTCCATGGGAGCTACCCTGTCCCACTTCCCTACATCACGGACAATCAGGTTACCAAACACACAAAGGGAAAATAATTATTTTATTTCATTTAAAACAGCACGGCTCTGGCCTCAACCTAGACAGTTGGGGGTTTTTGTTACAATTTTGCATGTGCAAAAAACCCTCACACTATGTTATTACACCATAACAGGAAGTTTGTAAAAATGTTTTTTTCTTGTTGTGGACATATGGGGAGCTCTGTTTGCACCCTCAGCCTGGGCCAAATAATGATCTTTATTAAAAAACCAACCAACCAAAATAACTGTGAAGCACAAAGAGGCAAAAAGTACCTGGTAAACCTGATTAAAAGACCAAGATTCAGCCCTGGCCGGTGTGGCTCAGTGGGTTGGAGCACTGTCCATGCACCAAGGGGTCATGGGTTTAGCTCCTGGTCAGGGCACATACCTGGGTTGTGGGTTTGATCCCCAGTCAGGGTGAGTGCCGAGGGCAGCCGATCAATGTTTCTCTCTCACATTGATGTTTCTCTCTTCCTCTCCCTTCCTCTCTCTAAAAATCAATAAAAAACATCCTCGGGAACATATCCTCAAGTGAGGATTAAAACAAAGAATAATAGTGAAAAAAGAGACCAAGGTTCAGAGGGTGTCTGAGACCACAGCATCTGTTCCAGCTGAGGATACACATCTGGAACTGAGGGATGAAGGTGGATAACATTAATGACACTGAGAGGAGACAGTGTAGAAGGAACACAGCTGTGTTCACCTGCTCAGAGCACCTGCCTGCACCCCTGGGCTCCCCCATCATGTGACTTCATTCCCACACACCTTCACAAGCCTCACATCCTCCAGTTTTGAGCTCCACGCAGCCAGCAGGATGGCTCTAAAAAAGAGGCGATGCTGTTTTCAACGTTGGCCCCTGGCCTCGGGCCCCAGCATTAGGACAAGACACCCCCCCAACACACACACAATCTCCACCACTCACACTAACACCCTCACCCGCTGCAGAGCCGGGTGGGCAGCAGAGGACGCTGCGATGGAAATACCCAGGTGGAACTGCTGGGAGGTTTTTCCAGAAGCAGACAGAACAGCAGTGGCATCAAACAAGTGGAATGAGACCTTGAGGGCGCCCGAGCACCGAGATGCTCTTCTGTGGGCCCCTGGCTCCCTCTGCCGGCCATTTCTGACTGCAGCCTGTCTGGGGGGACTCAGGTCGGACTGGCCCCAAGGAGGCCAGGTCCCCAGGCCCTGCAAGCCAAGGACTCCGGGGCCCCCTTCTGAGCAGGACTTATCTTAGTAGCATTCCTCTGTGGCCAATCTGAACCTCGGCTGTGAATCATTTTCTTTTTTGCAGCAAGCAGCTTCCTGAATTTCTGCTCCACTCTAGAAGCTGATGTGAGGGTCTTGGCCAGCTATGTGCCGTGACCTGCTGTAACATCTTTAGGGGAATCCTGAATGCCCCTTACACAGGCCGGTTCTGTAAGGAGATTGCCGGACTGACGAGCCTCCCGTAGTGCAACCCAGAGCATCCTTTGAATCCTAAGAGGGTGTTTACCTCTTGCTGATTTTCATAAAGAAACTTTTAAAGGAAACTGAAAATGAGCATTTTGGACTAGTTCTGCAGATGACTATCCTGTGAAGAGTCTCTTCCTGTTACAATTTTACTGTTCAGGATAGAAGAGAAATCCACTGTGTGGTGTGGCTTTGGTTTTAACCTAGAACTGTTTTTATAGGTTCTGAAAATCATTGCAGTTTTGCATAGTTGTCACGGAACCCAAGGGAGGGACACCTATCAGGTAAAGTTGTACTTTCCTCTGTGCCCCCCCACCCACTCCCAGGCTCTGGAGGTGACATTCACAACTCCTGTTCTTAGCCAGCGGCTTCTGTGACTTCATAGAGAAAGTTAAAAGGGCTGGTGAGAGAGCCTCAGAATAGAGAGACACAGATGCTTATTTTAAATCCTTTATCTATTAAACATAAATAATCACCTGTGACCCATATGTCACTTCCCCCAACCAACTCCCAAACCTTCACTGTCAGAGAGGAATCAATATTTGGACCACTGAATGGTCACCTTTCCTATGAAAATTAAACTAGGCAGTGAACAGGCCAAACCTGCTCCCAACGCAGCCCCATGCCAGTGTTCACAGTGCACACCCGAGACTGGGGGGGGCGGAACGGGACACGGGGACGGGACATCGGCAGGAGGCCCCGCAATGGCCTTTCTTATTCCTGCTCCAGCCGCAGCCCTGGAGGAGGGAGCCTGTATTTGAAGTGACTGGTGGAGGCAGGAGTCTGAATTCTGGCCTGGGCTTGAAACTCAAATGCAATCTACACCGAAGGCTGGCAACCCACAGCGAACTGGGGAGCTTCCAAGGAGGCCGGCTGCCCTGAGCAGTTGCTGGCTACACTCACGGCATCCACCAGGAAACCGCGGGGCACCTGGTGAAAGGTAACCAGGGCTCTTGTTGACTAGCAAAGCTCTCCCAGGAAAGCCATGCTCTCTGGGGAAAGCCCTCGCCCTGACAAACAGGGAATCTGCTCCGTGGTTTCTAGGTGGGGGCCACCTCTCTGGTCCCCCTGACATTTTATTTAGGACGGGGAAATAGTGTACATAGCTCTTCACGCTTTTCCCACCGGTGTGGGTCCTCAAATGTAAACAGTGCTGCGTGGGCCAGCGGCGATGGCCACCGGCCCACAAGGCAACCTGGCAGTGATCAAGTGCCACTGATGTCCCTGAATCTCATGGCCAACCCTCATGCAGACAGACACCCGAGTGCAGCAGGACACGGGTGTGAGTGGACATGCGCTGCCTGAGGGTCGAGGAGGTAGAAGAAGCTGAGCTCGCAGCCGCCGCTCCACGGTGTCGGGACAGCTTCGACGGCAGAAGGCTTCCAGTGCCGCAGGCGTCCCGGTCCACTCCCTGCAGAGAGACTCAGAGCCACCTGTCCCAGGGAGGCAGCACCCACGCCCAGAACTGGGAAGGGAAGAGCTCAGGTGTGTGGAAGCTCATCGGGGCCCACATGGGTCCCTGAGTCCCCCGCAGAGGCCTTGGGCGGGCCGGCCAGGCTCTCGGCGGGAGGCTGGGAAGGGCGGCAGCAGCAGAGCGCGAAGAGCCGCGTCCGCACAGCGCGGGTGCAGAGGACAAACATGATGCAGTTGGCGCCTCCCTGAAACGTGTTCCCGATTCCCTGTCAGGGAGGAGAGGAGAGGCATGAGCGCCAGGGCTGCCGTGGGTCTTAAACACACAGCAAGGGGGCTGGCGGACCCCAGAACTTGGCCCTCCGCCCCTGGCTAGGCTGCGATGACCCCGCCACGCGGGTCTTTGGCAGAGCTCTGGGCAGGTCTGAACTTGCAGACCTGGCCCAAACCCGTCCCCAGGTCTTCTGGATTGGAAGGGACCCAGGATCAGTCCACTCTCCTGAGTCTCCCCCTAGGCCGTTGGACAGCCCCTCGACGTAGGTCCCCAGGCTGCACTAGAGCCACTTTCTCTTGCCAAGGCTCCCGTCGCGGGCAGGGAGGAAGGCACAGTGGAGCCGCGCCCCCTGCCAGCCCACCCCACTGGGGACGTGCCCACCCCACTGGGGACAGCAATCTGACCCTGCCTCAGGGAGCAGCAGGGCCAGGGAGGGCGCAGCTACCTACATGCAGAACGACAAGCACCGGGGTCTGCACGGCCGGGGAGCCACAGAGGGTCAGGACGAAGCGCACGGTGCTCCAGACCCGAAGGCAAATGAAGATGAGCGGGATGAGAACCAGCTTCTTGTCAGCCATGGAGCTGTGGTGCTGGAGCCGGTGCGCCTCGGACAGGATGGGCCGGTACTCCGAGAGCGCCTGGTGCTGCGCAGGGGACACGGAGGACAGGCGTGAGCAGGCCGGGCCGCGTCCTCCCAGCAACTCAGGCTCGTGGGGGAAGGAAGCAGCGAGGCGCGGGGGGCCTCCCGCCTGCGCCCAGCTCCAGCCCGGATCCTCCCCCTGAGCTCCCGTCCCCTCGGCCCCCGGCCTGTGCCACACCTCCACGTGGATGTCTACACCACGTCGGAAAATGGAACACCTGACTTCCGCCCCAAGCCTACTGCGTGCCTCCCCATCTCAGCTAACGGAAACGCCATCCTTCCAGGTGCCCAGGCCAGATTTTGGGTGTCGTCTCTGCACAGCCCACATCCCATCCACGAGCAAGTCCTGTGGGCTCTACCTTCAAAAGAGACCCAGAATCTGGATGTTCCTTCCCCTGCCACCAGTGTGGCCCAAGCCCCATCACAGCTTCTATGGATGGCTGCTGCCTCTTCTGGTTTCTCTCTGTGACCCACACCATCCAACCCCCTCCCTGCTATGGTCTTGTTCTCAGCACAGAAGCAGCACTGTCGCTCGAAAACCTAAGTCAGATCAAGCCAGTCTTCATTCAAAGTTCTAGGTGGCTCCCATTTCACAAGTTCCTTACCAAGTCTCCAACCCCGGGTAGCTCTGACCCACTCCTACTTCTTTCCCCTTATTTGCTCTACTGCAGTCACACAGGTCTCATTACTCCCAAACATGCCGGGCACACCCTACCCCAGGGCCTTTGCACTAGTTGTTTCCTCTATCTAGGTGCCCTATTCCCTGGCCCTCTTCCAGTCTTTGCTCCAGTGTCACCTTCTGAACAAGGCCCATCCTGATGACCCTACTGAATCGCGAAGGCATTTCCCACACAGTCCCATCCCCACAGCCAGCTCTTTGTTTTTGTCTGTTTTCACAGCTCTTATCACCCTCCTTCCTAGACATAGCTCTCCCTTGTTTAGCAGGCCCATTGCTTATGATGGCCCTCCCTCCAGAATACAAGCTCCCCAGACCCTGCCCCATAGGAGGAGCTCACAGGAGGGGCTCCCCCCAAAGCTGGGGCAGGAAGAAGAGATGAGCAGGCACTAGCTGGGGCTTCCCCGCCTCTGGGAACGCCCTTCAGTGAGAAGGGGAGGCTCCACTTCCAGATCACAGCTGAATTTTATTTTTTTTAATATGTCTTTATTGATTTCAGGGAAAGAAAGGGAGCGGGAGAGAGACAGAAACATCAATGATGAGAGCGTCATTGACCGTCTGCCTCCTGCACAGCCCCTGCTGGGGATCGAGCCTGCAACCCGGGCATGTGCCCTGACTGGGAATCGAACCGTAATCTCCTGGATCCTAGGTCGATGCTCAATTGCTGAGCCATGTGGGACGGGTGATTACAACTGAATTTTTAAAAACTGCTCACAACAAAGATGTGTTTTTGAGCCTGGCCCTGTGTCAGGGACACTGAAGGTCCCGGTGAGAGGAGGCGCCACACACCTTGGCATCTCTGGGCACCTGAGCTGCCATAACTCACTTGCTCAGCACACCTGCCTCCTCCCCCCGGGGCCTTCAGCAGCTGCACCTTCCAGAACTGAGTCACTAAGGGGAGGGCTGGGTCTGCTCCTCGGCTTGTTTACTTTTAGCTCTCCTTCCTAGCCAGAGGCAGGGAACATCTATCACACACACCCCAACACTAGTCTCCCTTCTTTTGAAAAGGCTTGTGGAGTTGTGGATCCTTCTCACACACAGGGATCATTCTCACACACCGGGATCGGCCTAGTGGCCCCAGGCTCCCTGCCTGTTACAGGAAGGGCAGCTCCAGAGGGACGTCCTGGGCAGAGCCTGGTGGAGCTCTGGAAGCCTTCGTCTAGGAGCCCGGGCCCTCCCAGGACAGGAGACACAAGGAGAAGGTGAGGAGGGCACCCCCTGGCCCAGGCAAGAAGACAAAGAGGGTTTTGGACCAGTGGGTAAGCCCTGCAGGCATCTCTCCAGCTGAGCCAGCAGGGAGGACAAGGGTCAGTCCAGCTCAGTAAAACGAGAACCAGAGGTCTCGACTCAGATCCGGTGTCACAGACACAGCCAGCAGCACCCTACAAACTCAGAAGTGGCTGCTGAGCCAAGAGTCTGCCCTGAATGACAGGGACACACTCGCTTACAATTCCAGCCTCAAACACTCAGGGCACCGCACCAGCGACCCTGCAGAATGAGCCTGGAAGTCTGTATTCAGAGTTTCACGGGAACCTGTCTTGCGGCTCCAGCCACTTGTCACCTTTTATCATAATTACTTACGCTTCTGCCTCTTTCTAGGACAGGATCCCCATCTGGGTTCTCAGGATAAACTCCCACCGCACACAGAGCTTTTGTGCATAGTAGATGCTCAATAAAAATGTACTGAATGAGTGGCCAAGCAGATCGATGGATGAGTTCATACGGGGCTTTTTTGGGGGCAGCAGTTTGCTTGTGGCTGGGAGGAAGCCCATACTTTACATTTGCAGAACTAATAGTTAAGAACAGGGAACAATTTGGCCAGACTGTCGAGAAAAACCATTCTTTCCTAGAATTTCTGGCCAGCCCACGTTGCCAGACGTCTCCTAGACTGCTGGCCAGCTGGCCCAGCATATTGATTTATGAATTCCTGAGTGCCTGGAAAGTCTACCATTTGGCCTATGATTCTAATCGTCTAGCAAAATGAGGTGAGTTGTTACATCACAGATGATGAGATTCATGAACTCCCCTCCGGTCCGATCTTACTTGGATACTGCTCGGCTCTCCTCTAAATTCTCTCGAGGTAGAGCCACCGTGGTGGTCTGTCCAGGAGGGGGAAGTAGAGGGCTGTGGCCAGGCACATAGGCTAGCGCTCTCCTGGGGAGCTGAGCGGCTTTGGGGGGCCCTTAACCTCAGTAAGCCCCTCTTTCCTCACCCGCAGATGAAGAGTCACAGGACCCGCTCCTGACGGGACCATATAGTCCACAAACCAGACAACCCAGGAGGAGTGCAATTCACAGCAACTGACGCAGGGCAAGCCCTCCATGACTAGTTGTGTCCCCTAAGGTGGCTGGGCCCAGCGCCAGGACTGGGCGGCCCCGCGGCACAGGGAGCAGGGAGCTCTGGGGGCCCCGGGGGCGCGAGCGGCACCTACCGCCCTGCTGATGTGCTTCCTGATGAGCAGGTAGAGCACCGGCAGCGCGACGTAGGCCAGCATCTCCCACAGCTTCCCCGTCAGCAGCATCCACAGGACGCGGTCCTCCGCCTCCAGGTCGATCCAGCACCAGCCCACGGACACGTCGGAGGCGTCATAGCCGATCTTCTTCAGGATGACGGCTGCCACGGTGATGGACAGTGGGACCCCCCAGCTGAGGAATTAAGGAGCAAACGGGCACCAAGGTCAGGCCCCGGCTCCCAGCACAGCCAGCAGGGGGGAAATGACTGGGACGACCACGCCCTCCAAGTGTCCCCGGAGAAAAGAGGGGCAGGAGTCCCCAAAGCCCCAGCCCAGCCCTGCTCTGCCCAAGCCCCGCCAAGCCCGCCCCAATGCCAAACAGCCAGCCTGGGTCCAGGGGTACACACGCTGATGGCCTGGGGTTGCCTGGGCAGGGGGTTCCAGGGTCCCATGCACCTGCAGCAGGACCTGAAAGGGGATCGGGCTTTGGGCAGACACACGTCCCAGGTCCTGAGGCCTCTTTGCTCTATGGGGAGGGGGAGTGCCCCAGCAAAGGGGGCCCCTAAAGCATAAAACCCAGGGCAGCACGAGGCTCCCTTTCTGGAGTTTAATTACTATCCCACAGCAACGCAGCAGCAGGGATGGGGCCCAGCCCTGAGCCCCTTCCCGGTAGTTCCCATACCAGTGCCCTCAGTGTCCGTGTCCCCAACAGGGGGGGCAGGAAGGAGCATGTCCTCCTAGAGGTCACAAAGGCACAGAAGGGACAAAACCCCACAAAAGTTAACGTGTATGATAAAGGTATCAAGTTACACCCAGGAGTTTGCCCATTTTAACTGCTTGTTCTATGCAAAGTTATTTATCTGGTAAGTTAATATACAGGCCGGGGCAAAAGTAGGTTTACAGTTGTGAGTACAGAAAACACAGTTTATTCCTGTATTATTACTTATTAATTATTGTATTATTTTCCATACGAACAACTGTATATAGTGTCAAACTGTTTTGTTGTAATAGAGGGTTACCTTTTTATTATTTTTTAAAATTGATTTTGAGAGAGAGAGAGGAAGGGAGAGAAGGAAAGAGAGAAACATCAATCAGCTGCCTACCAAGGATTCAGCCTGAAACGTGGGCATGTGCCCTGACCAGGAATCGAACCAGTGACCTCTCGGTGCAAGGGACGGTGCCCGACCAACTGAGCCACACAGGCCAGGCGGGTTGCCTTTTTAAAATTCATGTCATCCTGGGATTTTAGGACAACATGTCACAGCTAAGAGCCTATGAGGGCGAGGGCCGTGTTGGTTCACTACTCTGTCACCGGGTAGCAGCAAAAGACGAGCCTGCTGAATGAATGAATGAACTTTGAGCCAAGTGACTGAGAGCTTTCCCCAATTCATTCCTTAATATTCACTGCATGCACATTATTGAAAACGAGTGCCTGGCCGGCGTGGCTCAGTGGTTGAGCATCGGCCTATGCTCCAGGAGATTATGGTTCGATTCCCAGTCAGGGCACATGCCCGGGTTGCTGGGTCGACCGCCAGTGGGGGGCGTGCAGGAGGCAGCCGAGCAATGACTCTCTCATCATTGATGTTTCTCTCTCTCTATCTCCCTCTCTCCCTTCCTCTCTCTGAAATCAAAAAAGACATAAAAAATAAATAAATAAAAGGAAGTAAAAGGCTTTTAAAGTTGCTAAAACAGCAATCCTGAAGTTATATGTGTGGTTTCTCATCACTTTATGATTTACTGGGCTCCTCCAATGAATTCTGGGAAGGAAAACACGCCGTGTGGAGGGACGGTCACCAGGAAGGAGGCCGGAGCAGAGGGTCCCCAATCGCACTGGAAGGAGAAGCAGAGGAGGGACAGCACAAGCGCCCGCGCTCACAGGCGAGCGGTGATCCTTTCCCCTTGCTCAGCGTCTTGACGCCCTTACAGGAGGCTTGGGGACCACACAGTGACAGACCACATTCTGAGAATTAGGTGTGCCCTACTAAAGCTACAAAGTGATGTATTTCCTCTAGATCACTGGGCTGTTCCCGGAGCTGAGTGTGTGCTGGGAATTGCCAAAGAGAAGACCAAAGAGGCAGAGAGGCAGCTTTGAAAGGGTTAAGAACAAGGGCTGATCAATCGGAGTTGCTGTTTCAACTTGAACATAGATGGCAGCTCCACTGGGGCCAGAAGCTGTTCAGGGAGGTATTTAAATGGAAGGTGGTAAGAGGCAAGGTCAGGGAGCGGTGGGAATGGAGTGGGAGGGACTGTCTGCTAAGCCAGCAAAGCAGGTTCCACCAGACTCATAATGAGTGGAATCGGCCGCGGTGCGCTGGTAACACTTAACAACTGGCTCTCCAGAAATATATTGGTATTCGTGTATGTATGTGTGTAAATATACATACCAACCAACAAAAACATTCCAAATGGCCAACTGAATTCCAAATGGCCAACTGAATCTCACAGAATGTTTTTGTTGGTTTTCACCCAACTCAGGTATCCGCAACCACTCTGGCTACAATCAGCAAAGAAAGTAGCCCCAGGGCGTGAAGCTGACTGATAGTTTCATTTTTCTTAACAAGGGAGAGGAAAGTGAAATAAGGAAGATGTAGGGACAAGACAAATGCCAGGACTTCACTGGTTCCACAGTGATATGAGCAACCTCTTTGTGGGAAAGGATAATAATTTCTAACGCGGGAGGAGTGTTTCCTCTTCTCCGCTCGTGACACTGCCTCTTCTCATCACCTCCCCCTGAAATACCCGGTTTCCTGCCTGCCCCCACGTGGCTGCCACCTCGGCTTAAGTTCAGAGACAAGTAACACTTTTAATATTTACTTATTCATGTATTCTCCATCACTCTCTTAAATCCAGGTCAGGGGTCCAGCAAACTATGGCCCTCTAACCGAATCCGGCCCATGGTCTGTTTTTTTAAATAAAGTTTTATTGCAACACAGCCACACTCATTTGTTTATTATCTATGGCTGCTTTCAGGCTGCAACAGCAGAGTTGAGCGGTTGCAACAGAGATCACATGGCTTGTGAAGTTGAAAATACAACCTTGTCCTTAACAGGAAAGGTCTGCTGACCACTGCCCTACACAATCAACGAAACAATACAGCAAGCCCTCATTTGTAATGTTTGCCAATTTCCAAGGTGTAAATATCCCACCGTGGCCAAGTTCAAGCCACCAGTTCAGATGCACAGCAGCATACCATCGGTTAGGATTTCCATCGCACAGATACAACAATGTGAATAACCTCAAGTGCACAGAACAGAGTCACGTGTGGTAAAATAATTAGGACGTAATCAATTGAGTATTTTTATGACTTTTTAGAGAGGTGATGAGGGGAAAATGAGGTCACTAGGGTAGGCCCTTATTCAATGCGACTGGTGTCCTTATGAGAAGAGGAGATTATGATACACAGATGCACAGAGGGACAAGCATGTGAAGACACAGGGTACAGACAGCCATCGACAGGGCGAGGAGAGAGACCTCAGAGGAAAACCCTGCCAACACCTCAATATCACTTCCAGCCTCCAGGACTGTGAAAATACCGAGTTTTGTTGCTTAAGCCACCCCGTCTGAGGCACTTTGTCCGGTAAGACCCAGGACACTAATACAGAGGTTTTCTATAAACTACAGGGGGAGAGACATGCTCTGGGTACGGGTCATAGCCCAGCCCCTGGGGACCCTATCCCAGAGGGGAAGGGATGGATGGGAAACACCCTGCACCCACTCACCACCACCAAACACGCCTCCCACCAGGAATGGCAGAGCTTGGGGGGGGGCCGGGCGGGCAGGCTAAACCGACCAAAGACATTCAGATCTGTCACGAGGAGCTTAGCTCTTCTAAGAACTGGCGAGGAGCTCAGCTCTTCTTAGAACTGGCGTCCTTTCTGTTTTCAAAGCTCCTCCAGGGAAGTATAACTAGACCAGCCAGGTGGGGAGTAAGTCATCTCTGTCCCTGGCATTTGTCAGCCGACCTCCAGCAGGCGCCTGTCCCCAGAACAGCGTGTGCTCTGGGCTTCCCTCAGAGTTCCCGGCTCTGCCCAGCTGGGGATCTTCCCAAACCTCTCCAGCCACGGTCAGGGTGGGGACACTTGCGGAGACAGAGAGCCACTTCCACTTTCTACTTCACATGCAAATGGCAGCACTCCCCCTCCCCCTTGCACTAAGGGTGGGGGCCTCGGGTCTGCCCTCTCCCCAACCTCACCCTTCCCACAGGCCCCGGTTGGGGGCGGGGAGTTGGCTGCAAAGGAAACAAAGGGGTCCCCAGACAGCAGCAGCGCCCTGTGTGCCATGTGGCCTATGGGGAGCCTTGAATGTTACCATAACTCAAAAAATGCTTCGAGAACAAAACTCTCGGGCAACAATGTGTCAATTTAGAAAGCTCTTGGGGGCAGGACTGAGCGGCCCCAGAGGGAAACGCAGCTGCAGAGAGCCAGGCCTGGCGAGAGGGATCACAAGGGCCACGCAGCCTCGAGGTCTCTTTCCCGAACAATGGGCCCTAATTGTTAAGTGTGGAGCAGAGGGGTGGGACGTGGGAGAGGTTCAGGGAGTCAGCTGCTGGCCAGGCCACCACGAGGTCACTCTGCAGCTCTGGCCGCAGAATGGGGGGGGAGGGCCCCCACAGGTTTTAAATACCCCTCTGACATCATCTTCTGCAGCCCTGGTTCTGCTGGGCACCTGGGATCCATCCTGTAGCGCTCAGAGCTGCTTCCTGCCTACCTGGGTCCCAGCCAGGTAAGGATGGGCAGGTGTGACCTTCCCTGGCTGAAGGGTGGCACCTCTGCTCCCACAGCCTGCAGTGGCTTCCCGTGAACACACTGACGCAGTGCAGAGAACTATCTGCTACACAGCAGTGCCCTCTGAAAACGTCTTGGAGGTAATAAAAAATCCAGTTCAACTCTTGTTATTTTGGGGAACACTGACCGACATGGGGTGCTATTCATGCAGCCTCTGTGTCCCTCATTCAGACACTGCCTGCTGGGGCCCTGTCCCTGGGCCCCACAGCAGTGAGCTAGTTTCCAGTTAGAGAACTCAGAGGACCTTCCCTCTCAGGATGTTTCCCCTTTTCTCTCATTAGAACTTCCCACTCCCCATACAGGGGGTTTTATGGTAAACTCGGGGTGCCACAGACTCCTTCCTCCAGAACCTCCAAGCAAAAGCAAACTCCAAGGGTGGGTGAGCACGTGGGCCAGGGGCACAGGGCCTGTCCCTGCCAAGAGTCACGCCCACAGCTACTCCCACCTCAGTGGAGTCAGAAGAAATCCTAAAACTGCTCAGTGGCCAGCTTGGCCAGGACCCTTCTACTCTGGTCTGGACGTGGCGAGATGAGGCACCCCCCGGCCTGACTTTCCCTCAGGCCCACAGGACGCAAGGGCTGATGCCTGTGGCCTGGGGGCTTGCAGGTGGGGCGGGTTCACGGACTAGCGTGAACCATTTCCAGCTTCCCTCGGGAGCAGCCCACCAGCTGGAGGGGGAGGAGGGGCTGGCAATTGCTTTTCAAAGGCCGGTCGCCTCCCGCAGGAGCACAGGGATGGTTTCAGGCCACTTGGATTTATTTTATGGGAAGGGAATGGACCCCACGCACAGCAGCTCTAGTCCTGAGCTTCTAGCACTTTCTTAGGTGAGTATGGCCACAGACGCACATCCACATGAATGTAAACTACGGGGCGTCTGTGTCAACAGTAGCAATGGACTCAACACAGGGCTTTCCCTTGAACACTGAACACTCTCAGGACACCAAGAAATTCACTGCACAACACTGTCCATGGACGCGGAAAGCCTGAGGAGTAACAGGACACTTATCTCAACAAGACATTTATTCATGACAGAAGGAGAAACGGTAACTGCAGCGGAGGACTGACTGATAACACCTTGCCAAGCGATCCGGGGAGCAGGGCCAGGAACCCACACATCAAAGACAACGTCGCCGGGAGGAAGCAGAGAACAGCTCCCGTGACATCCCTGCAGCGGTGCAGAATCCCACGCACCCGCAAGGCAGCGCCGGCCACCCGGGCAGAGGGTCGCCCCGAAATAACGGCCTGTGCTCTTCCAAGAAGTCAAGTCAGGAGACACCAAGAAAGGCAGAAGAACCCTTCCCGGCTGAAGGAGGAGACTGAGGGCCAAACTAACACCCAAGACAAGCTTTTCCCTTGCTGTCGGGGACATTGTTACAAGACCGACAAAGTCTCAACCCGGTCCACAGTCAGATCCCTGCTAACCTCCCGCCTCTGGGAGGCCGCTGTGGGTCCTTAAGAGACTGTCCTTGTCTTTTGGAAACACACACTCAGGGGCATCAGGTCTGCGACTGACTTACTCTTAAACGGTTCCGGAAAAAAATAACTGGAGAAGACGAAGGTAACATGACAAAACGTTAATAATGGGGAACTCCTGGAAAGTTAAAAATAAATCATTGTCAAATTATATCTCAATTAAAAAAATTCTTGTTGGGGCCAAGAGCAAGAAGGAACCCTAAAAGGAGGACTGACCTGGAGTCCTAAGCCTGAGCCTCCCGCCATGTGGCCTCGGGCAGGTCTCATCACCCGTAACTGGAGGGTGGCCACCTTGTCCATTCCCTTACTGGTGACCAGTGAGCTAAGGAACGGGACAGCATTTTGCAAGAGCTCAGGAGCCAGATGCAGCTCACAGGAAATACAGTTTCCCCGAGGTTAACAAAGTGTAAGCTGCCCTCTTCTCCAATGAGAAAAAAAGCCTTTGTGCAAAGGGAGCCCCGTCAGGTGCCACTATGGGGCCCTCTGAGCAGGTGCTTTCTGGGAGCCTGTGTATGGGCAGGACTGTCCCCAGCCTCCTGCTGTTCGCTGCTGCCTGCTGCGTGCAGTTTTGCAGATGGCTATTTCCACCTAACATTGTATCATACCATTTTTTTAAAAACGATGTACAGAGTTCACAGCCAGTACAGGCTATATAACATTTCCAGTGGGGCTGTCGCCTGTAACTCACTGTTCCCTATTTTGTGGACATTGAGGTTGCTTTCAAATTCTCCCAGATAGCAGCGTCTCCCAAACTCCTTTGCACATATAACTTTGCGTGCATTTTGGATTATCTCTTTAGACTAGGTCTCTATAAATAGGATTACTGGGTCTAGGGGTATGAACCAAAAGCTTTCCATGCCAATTATTCCAACTTACATTGCCAAGGACAATGTAGGAAAATACCAGTTTCATCGGCATTTATCACGTTCGTATTCTGCCTTACCGTTTTTTTCTTACTTAACGAGAAAATGATACCTCAGTGTTACAACTTGCATTGTTTTGAGTACTAATGGCACTAAAATTTTTCCCATATGTATTTACCAACTTTTACTATTTTGTCTGAATGTGGCCTTTGTCCACTTATCAGGATATTTGTTATTGTGTGTGTTTTTTAAAAAAATCAATTCATAAAAACTCTTTATGGAATAGAGATAGCAACCTTTTGTGTTGTCATATTTTAAAATACTTTCCAAGACCAGAAGGTTTGAAGAAGTGGGCTTTCAGTTGTCTGAAATGGTAACAAGGGATGACAGCCCAACCTGTGTCTGAAGATGACATTTCCCATAGCAACAGGCACTTAAAGCAACAATAAACTGATCATTAGCTCATTACCTCTACAGTCTGGGAGGATCAGGGTCAATAGATGAACCTGTTGGACAGGTTTTACCAATTCTCTCACTCTAGTAAAACGTGAGTGCTAACTTCTGAAAGGGAATAGTCCAAGTCCCTTTCTAGCTTGGACACAGGTATTTTCTTTTAAGGAGCAGGTGGATCACATTTAACACACAAGACGAGCACTTTGCATCTCTTTTATGACCAGAAGGCGACACACATACTTTCTCAGGAGGCCTTTCCTAACCACCACAGAAACCCCTCCAGAAATGAACAGAAAGAACTCCCAGCTCAGGTTTCTTAGAAAAGTTGTCTTATTCCATAGGAGCCGCACCCAGTTTATCACTTAAAAAATACATTGGATTCAATGTTTTTAAAAAGATGGGGGGAAAGAAAAGAGATTCTTGCACAGAAAGTCCTGGGCGCCTCTCAAGTACATGTGAACTCTGGTGTGTACAAACTGCCCACGCCCAACCTGCCTGCCAAGGACCAGGTCTCTGAAATGGACGGAGAGGTCAGGGGGATGCTGTGAGGGGAGGAAAGGCAGCCCCACTTTCCGTGGGTCTCTGCGGCATCCGGGAACTGTTTGAATGGCTTGCTGCAACTTTGACTCGAACAGCTGAGAAGCAGGCCATTTAGTTTCCCAGGGACCAGCTGGCTTCCTTCCAACAACTCTGAGAAGAGGTCAAGTGACTTTTGCAGTCTTGTGACCTCACTGTTGTGACACCCAGGTGTCTCTACTGAAGTGCTGACTGTCCTCAGTCTTTGGAAAGTACTCAAGCATTTAACAGAGAGGACCTATAATTAGGGCAGGATCTGGTGCTCTTATCTGGGGAGGGAGAAGAGGAAACATGCCCTGTCAGATTCCTGTCTCGGTTCAACACAGGACAGTACCAGATGTCTGAATCTTGAAAGGGGCCAGCCTTCTCCCTCAGGTGAGGGGTACTTGATGAGATAGATGCTTCAATGCCAAGGGCAGGGCAAGGCTTTCATTGTCCCTATTCTCAGATACTCCCTGTAGCTGGTGGCCCTCTTCCAGACCAGCCACTGCTACTGACCTCAACCTCAGAGTTGCTCAACTCTAGCAAGTCAAGATCATCTAGAACAGAGATAACAACAGACATGGGCCTGAGGTCTAGCCATGACCAAAGAGAAAATAAAGAACTGAATTTGGCAGAAGGCTAGACGGAGACCAGCAGCCTAGGAGTGAATGCACCACACCTGTGGCTTGGGGTTCTGGTCGTGGCTTGGGAGTGGGAGCTGGCAGGCTCTTCAACTTGGGGTGACCACCTAACTCATCTCCCAGCCTGGGATCCAGGCGCTGCTCCCCAGGTGCAGCCCTGATGGTCAGAGCGCAGTGAAGCAGGAGCCCAGGTGCATCGAAGCTCCCAGGGCCGAGCTCCAAGGGCGGGCTCTGGCCCTCCTCCCTCCCCTCCAGGTGCTGAGCTGAGGCGCCCACCTGGCGGAGAATGGGGAGCGGGGGCAAGCAAAAGGGGGCGCCCTCTGCCGTGATGCTCGCGACACGTCCATCCCTCGGGCAAGCCTGACCTCGTCCCGCTCACCCAGGTCTGCCCTGGTGAGTGAGCAGACACTGCCTGCGGGCGCCGGGCCAGGGGTCCGACCGAGACCTGGGCGCCAGAAGGGCCCGAGGGCCACGGGGGGCGGCCACTCACCTGACGATGTGGAAGGCCCAGAGCAGGCGGTGGGACCCGGGTCCGCGCGTGGTGCGCACGATGCTGAGGTACAAGTAGAGGGCGATGGCCACGGTCCAGAAGAAGGAGCTGGTGTTGGCGAAGGTGGAGAGCGCGCCCTGCAGCACGCAGTCCCACGAGGGGCCCGAGAAGTCCTGCAGCACCCCGTAGAAGTAGGAGACGGCTGACAGCAGGTCGGCCAGCGACAGAAAGAGCAGCAGGCGCCGCGCCCGGCTGCGCAGGTCCGGCCACAGGGCGTGCGTGGCCACCAGCAGGCCCGAGCCGAGCGCGGAGAGCGCGCACGACAGCAGC